GTGTATGAGAGGCAACCGATGGATGTTTCTCTCCCTTTCTTTCTCCTTCTTTTCCCCTCTCTTTTAAAATAAATACAATTTCTTTAAAAATAATTCCTTTCTTGTAAGTTTGCCTTCTAGACTGCTTCTACTTGGGAGCAGATCTAAGGGAACAGGAGTAAAGGACTGTGGAAAAAACCACTACGAGTGTATAGCCTGCGGTTGTTCACAGCTATGGGGACCTGGGGGAACGAGTCTTAGAAATATCTGCCTAAGGTTCAGAAGTAGGTGTCTCTATAGGTCCCTTAGGTGTCTATCCCTCCAGGGGTGCCCCGCTAGGTGTTAACACCCCCACACAGGTGTCCATGTTGAGCAAGTGTCTGTAGGTGCCCCGAGCCTCAGGGTCTGAGGAGTCTGGGAGCAGAAAGTGAGAGTAAACAGTGCAAGTGAGACTGGGACACTGAAGGAGCTGGTTGTCACAGCAGTAGCTGGAATAAACAGTTGCCTGGAGACTCTGAAGCCATGAGCCATATGCCTGTCATGCTATTTGGACAGGACCAGGGAGGACACAGCCTATGCTGCCCTCACTGGGTGCTACCCAGGAGCATGAGAAAGGCAGGACCCTTGTAGCTTCATTTACATGTTCAACTCTCATCTCTGCTTGTCATAGAACTGCAGGTCCAGCTGCCTGCCACTACGAACTCGAGAGACAGGTGCTGATGTAAAGGAAAGTGGTTTCTTTTGTGCTGGCCACCTGGAGACGGGGGACTCGAGTCACAAAGCCCGTCTCCCCCTCTCAGTGGAGGCAGAGGTTTCCATAAGGAGGAAGAGGGGAATGTAACAAAGAGTTCAAGGGAAGGGGCTGCAAAGTTCCCTACGTGCAGACAAGCACAGTCCATTCCGATAAGACAAGTGACAGTCCAGTGCGTGTCTTCCTGGTGTAGGTGTCCTGGCTTCACATCATCCTGGTTCCAGGGATGATGGGAAGCAGTTCAGCAAGTCTCCTGGAGCTGGGATGCCTGGAGGTCGGGGTCTCTATCTCTTGGAGCTAGTTCCTAAGATTGTTATACGAACGTGCTGTTCACGTACCAGCTATACACACTGGTCAGAGTCGGCACTGACAGAAACAATGCCAACAGAATGGCGGGGCCAACAATCCGATCCGACCCGGCCCGGCTGCATGCCTGTTCTAGCTGAGAGTCAACAGCGGGGAACAAGCCAGTCGACAGGCCACCTCCTGGCAGTGGAACCATCTGATCCAACCCTGACAGTTGCTCACGTGAGCCCTAAATCAGAGGTGGGGAAAGGCAGAGGGATGAGGTTGGGAAGGTTGGCAGAAGCAAAACCATCCCTGACTTACAAAGTCTTCATTGTTACACGGCTTTAGATTTCATTCTGACTCCTCAGAGGGAAAACCTGATGCGATTTCTGTTTTTAGAAAGATCCCTCTGGTGGCCAAGGTGAGAATGCAAAGGAGGAAAGAGGGCAGAGACAGAGACACTAGTGAGGAGACCATCCAAGATGGTGATGATGGTAGTGGCCAAGGAGATGAATTTCGGAGCTGGTAAGGAGGTGACAAGGACAGGCCTTGATGACCAACTAGACGTGAGCTGAGGGTTGCGGGGAGGTAGGGAAGATGCCAAAAATGGGGAGCTGGGTGGATGAGTAGTTGGTGGTGTTTTTATCTGAGATGGAAATGTAGGAGTAAGAGCACATTGGAGAGAAGATGAGGAGGTGCATTTGGGATGTCTTGAGTTTGGGTTGTACTTGGGACACCCATGTAGCGAGGCCCAGGCAGTCAGAGGTGTGGGTTGCAGATACATCTTTGGGAATGGTCAGGACTGCACAGTTCCTGAGGACTTGGGCAGAGTTCTCTGAGGCCGAGGTCACCAGAGAGCAGAGTCAGTCAGGGTTTCTGGTTGGAAGCAGGTTCCAAAAATTGACAGCAAAGTTGCACAATCTGTGGGGATTAGTGAAATCTGCTGCGGAGGTGGCTCTGGGGAGCAGGGGTGGTTGGCAAACCAAAGTGGAGTCCTAGCAGGGCAGTCTGCTTAAGATCAAGCCTGTAGGACAAGATCCACCCCTTGGCTGGGCCAGGGTGGCCTCTGATCTCTGTTCTGCCAGACCAAATCCGGTGGGACTGGGCGAGACCACGAAAGGAGGGTGGGGCATTTGGAAATCAGCCCAACAACACGTGGTACTCTAGAGAAGGAGCAGTTGAGGAGGAAAGCAGGAGCCAGGCCAGAGCTTGGAGGAGCCTGGAGGAGCCTGGTGCCTTGGCAATAGTCGGGAGAGGGGATGGGAATGCAGGCTGAGAAGGAGGGAAGGAGGTGTACACAGCATGAGGTAGGGGGATGGGGCTGAGGGGTGAGAGACCACACCAGCCTGGCAGGCTCCCGCAATCAGAGACAGAGAGCTCTGGGGACCTCTCCAAGCAGGTTCTTCCCTGTTTTACCTCTAGCCATCTCTCTATCTGTCTCCTCTACCTCCACTTTATCCCCTGCCCCATCCCTATCTCTCTGCCAGTCTTCGTCTCTATCTCTCTCTCTGTCTCTACCTCTCTTCTCCATCTCTGCCTCCATCATCTCAGCAGCTCCAGGAACCACAGAGCAGCTGGAGAGCAGCTGGGATAGCCATTTGCAGAGCTTATGATGTGATCTAGGGAACCAGTCAAGCAGGCGTGGGAGTGGGTCCATGCGTGTCAGAGTTTATGATAAGGTATTGTGGAAACTGCCTCGTCCACTCTCAGACCCAAAGCTCCAAGGGTCACCTTGACTCAGCCCGGCTCCCACCATCCCAACCCCCACAGAGGACCGGGAGCCCAGCGCCATGTGAGGCAGAGACAGGTCAGCAACCTTCAGAAGTGGCCCCCAGTCAGTGTCACCAGACCACCGGTGGGGCAGGCAGTGTTCTCCAGGGAAGGTGAGTAGGTGAGGTTGCCCTGGGTGCCCTTTGAGATTAGCTAACCAGTGTGTGACCTTCCTGAGCTCATCCATGAAATGGATATAATCATTGTATTTCCTTTCAGGTTGACATGAGGATCAAAGAAGAGTAAAATCAGTTCATTAAGGGACTTGCAGGTGAATGCCTGGGACTCATGGGTTCCTGTCACAGTTGTTGTCCAACTCGTGTCCCTTCCTCTGAGTCTGTGGCTGTGCCTGGCTTCCTGAGAAAACGTGCCTTAGGCCCCGGAGAACTGCCGAGAGTCCTTCCACCAGTCCTTCCACCGTTGCTGTTGTCAGTGACGGGCTGCTGGGTGGCGCTCAGTTCTGAGCTCGGCTCACTGGGCCTGACTGGGGAGACACACCTGCTCATGGGGCGCTGGTCAGTTGCATTTCTGAGCCCTCGCGGCTGAGGCCAGCCCCAGGAACAGGCCTCTGGCAGCCTCTCCTGGGATTTCTTGCCTTTGCCTTTGGCCACAAATAGTCCCTGTCAGACAGGAACAAAGATGAAAGTTGGTTTCTCTAGGGACCCAAATAGAGTTTCCCATTGGTGGTGGGAATAGAAGGACAGTCCTTGCCGGTCAGAGAGACCACCTGACCACCCTCAACCCCTTTTAAACTTCCGACTCCCTTTAGGGGTGCTGAGGAATATTGTGTGGGAAAATGGTAAATCATGAAATTACCCCGAGTTGCAAAGATTCTGAGGCCCAAGGATACGAAGCTGTAGCTTGGGGTAAGAATGAGCTGTCGGAATGGAGCTGGAGTGCAGGTGAGCTGGGTAGGGAGACCCCGAGGCAGAGGAGCTGACGGGGTGCTCCCCAGGTGGGCTGGGGCACTCTCTGGGCCCACAGCATGGTCCTCTGGGCATCACAGCCCAGCTTGAAAAACTGTCCGCTTCCCTCAACTCAGCTGTTCATGGGCTGTGAGCCCAAGGCCAGGCTACTGTGCCCCCTAGAGGGGCTGGGTCTTGGGCCAGGAAGGGAGGACTTCTGGCATGACGCAGCCTCTAGCTTTCTTCTGCCCTCACCCCTTCCCTTGAATCTCAAGGAGGAAGGTGGGGCAATAAGAGTGTCACACCCAGAGCTAAAAGAAAGGTCTCAGTTTTCGCTCCAAGCTCCTTGGAAGGTCAAGGGAGGCCATAAGAATCTGGAAGAGAACTTGATGAAGCTGAACCTGCAGATCAGTGTGAGTTATGGGGATAGCAGTCAGCAGGGGCTGTGTGTCCTGGGGCCTGTGGGTGGGGACTGGGAGTTTAGACTTTGTCCTGAGAGCAACGGAGAGCCAGGAGTTTTAATAGAGGGCAGTGACAGAATCAGAACTGCATTTTAAAAAGCTCACTCTGCTGTTGGGTGGAGAGGGGACTAGGTGGCCAGACAGGAGACAGGAAGGCCAGGCAGGAGGCTATTGCAGCACCCAGGCAGGAGAATGTGGGCTGGGGCTGTAGCTGTGGGGGCCGAGGGGAGTGGGCTAGTTAGGGATTAGTGGAGATGAATGCAGCCACACCTACTAACTGGTCTCCCTGCTTCCACCTTTGCCCCTCACAGCCTATTCATACAACAGCCCGGGTGATTCTGGTTAAAACATAAAAGCCCAGGTCATGCCAGTCCTCTGGCTTCTCATCTCCGAGTGAAACCCAAAGTCCTTCCTGTGACTTACAAGGCCAACATGGTCAACTTGCCTGTCCCCACCTCTCTCTGACCTCATCTGCTACTCCTAGCCACCTCACTGACACCTCTCCGGCCATTTCTTCACTGTTCATAGGACAACAAGCAAGCAATGCCTCCTCTCCCTGTCCTGCTTGGGACCTTTGTATTCCCTGCCCCCTCTGCCTGGGCTACAGTTTCTTCAGGTGCCCACACAGAGGCTTCCTCACCACCTCAGGTCTCTGCTCAAATGTCACTGTATTTGTGAGGTCTTTCTAAATTCGTCACATGACAGGATCACTTATTTTCTCCAGTGATGACCTAATTATTTCCTTTATGGCACTGCCTATAATCTGTACTTGTTTGTTCAAAATGTTTTCCTAGGAGGTAGCGCCAAGCCTGGAACACAGTAAAATCTTAGTAAATAAGTAGTTGAATGAGTGGGTGGCAGCTGCCCTCAAGGAAGAAGGTGGTGGGAGGCAAGGAAGCCCAGGCTGTGTCTGTGTGTGCACTGGCCCCGGGGCTCCTACACTTCTCGGTGCCTGGACTAGCTCTGGGCAGGACAGAGGTAGGTCTGGCCAGGCTCTGTCCCAGCTGCTGACGGGGTTGTGGAGGGGATAGAGTGGAGGGCATGTGGATGGGAACTGCTGCCTCTGCCTGGGCATGGGTAGACCAGGCTTGGCTCTAGGGAAGGGGACAGTGGAGCTGGGACTTGAGGAGTGAGGAGGGGCTTGCTGGATGAAGAAGAATAAAGGCATTTTGAGCTTGGGAGAAGGCCTGAGGCATAGGAAAAGACAGGACGGCTCAGAGAGTGGTGAACTGCCTGGTGCAGCAGGGGAAGTGAGGCCAAGAGATCAGCAGCCTGAGGTCAGAGAGGTTTCAAATGCTAGGCCTGTAACTGATCAATCCGGGCCTCCATCCTCACGGCCCTGGGGGCCATGGAGGGGTCCATGAAGCAAGGGAGTGAGAGAATCCTCCAGCTGCCCTGAAATGGGCCCCAGAAATGCTTAGGAGGCATAGCTTCAGATAGAGTGATGGGTGGATGGGATGGTTGAGGTGCGGGTTTAAAGGATGATGTCCCAGTCTCTGGTGAAGGCTCTGGAGGTGGGAGCCTGAGAGGGGCAGGTTTGGGGACAATGAGAGCTCAGCCTGTCCGGGTGGGTCGGGGCACTCTGAGTTGGGGAACCTGATCTGTCTCTCCTCCTGCCTCATCTCAGGTCCAAGACCCTGGGTTACAGAGACAATGTCCCACAGGGACCCTGTCCCAGGGTTTTCATGTCCATTACATTTGTGCTCGGCCCCTGGGCTGAGATGTTTGGGGCACTAGGCTGAGACTAAGTGAACCACAGGGAGGACAAATCAGCCTGACAGCTCTGGGCGCCACTTCTGTCAACTACTGTCTCCCCGGCCGACCCCTCCCGGCCGACCCCTCCCCGGGATGCCTGCGTGGACAAGGGCTGCTCCGGTGGCCGCAGCCCTGTGAGGGTCGAGCTGTTGGTCTTGGGGGTGCCGATGGTGCCGCGGGAGATCAAGGACCCTTCAATTTGGGAGGCTGTCTCCGTGGGAGGAGGGGGTGACTGCGTGTCCCGGGATTAAGGGGAGCCCCGGCGGCTGGTGACTGCGGCGCGGCGGGTGCAAATGAGGCGAGGGAGGGGCGGAGTCTGCCGATTTGGGTCTGAGAGCCCGCTGGAGGCCGGTGCCCGTAACTCCGTTATATCTCCACTCGGTTCCTGCGCCTTCTGGCTTCCCAGGCTGCCCGTCCTCCCGTCCATCCCGCCTATGACAGGGTTAGGCCCGGACAACGGCAGCAGTCGAGGCCGGACGGCGACGGATGGGCCAACGCTCCCACTGTCCCACCCTACTCTGACGCGGCCCGGAGGCGGCGGGGGAGACCCGGAGTACGCATGCGTGCGCCGATGCGTGCGCGTCGCCGGGCGGGGTGGGGCGGGGCCTCGCTGCACTGCGTATGACCCGGGGAGGAGCAGAGCAGTGCAAAGTTGGGGAGGCTGCGGCCACCCGCAGAATCAGGCCCAGGACTCCAGGCCCCGCTTCTCGCCTCACGTCTCAGGGGCTATGCTCCCTCAGGGAGGGTGGGAGTGGCGGGAGAAGCTTTTGGAAGTAATCCTAAGAGCAAAATAAGGCAGGAACAGGAGATCTACAAGAAGAAAACGGAAATAAATATGGATGAGACTGCGTACTCGGCACCTGAATAAATGCTACAGTGAGCCCAGGTCACAGTATTCCCCGGGAGGAAAGGACTCTACGCCAGCTCTCAGGGAGTCTGTAGGTCCAGGGCGACCCCAGCCATGCTTGGTTCAGAGGCTGGTTTGCTTGTTTTCCCACAGCCTGGCACTCTGAGTCTAAAGCGGACCACTGAGCACGCTCAAGAACAGCCTTGACACGTTTGTAAACGAGGAACAAGTTCTTTGTTAAACGGTGGTAATTACATCAGTGTGATATTGTCACTGGAACAGGAAAATAGATCAGTGGGGTAACTGATTCTTACAAAAGGATTCTTACAAAAATGTGAAAAGTTCCTATGTTTTCTAAAGTTTAAATGACCACCAGAAAAGAGAGTGAAGGGTTTAGAGCATTTCACACAAGAACTCGTGAAGAAGACCACTCTTCCCCTCTGCTCGCTCAGCACCCAAGAACAAACACAATGTGTTGAGTGAATATTCATCTCGGGTAATTAGACAAATGCAATTTAAAGCAACTACAGATCGAGTTTTACTTAGGTTGACAAAAGTGGGGAAAAAATGTCCTGTGTTGCAAGAGCACAAGGAAATGAGTACCGTTGTGTGCTGATGGTGAGAATGTGAACTGACGACAGTCTTGTGGTTTGTGATGGTACAAAATTGACAATAGCACAAGCATGTGTATTATTCGGACTCACTAAATAAACCAGCACCAAATAAACGAGGCTACTTCCAGTCCGGAGGAGAGTTGCACGTGACCGGGAGTCCCGGCGCGTCCTTGGGTGTGCGCACTCCGCTCACCAGCTCTGGCAGCGTTAACACTTTTAAAGAGTAAGTCCGTACCGGCGTACATGCTACCAAGCTGTGCTGAGTGCTCTTTCTGAAATCTTCCTCTTTATCCACACCCCACCCTGCTCCGCCCCGCCCCCCGGCACTAGGCGCACTCCCTGGTGGTGAGAGAGGGGAAGGGGAAAGAAAAAAGGGGAAAGGGAGGAACACCAGGAGAGAGTTTGGGAAAGTGCAGGGAGACAGATACTGCCCACAGAGTCCCAACCTCTGCCAGTCATACACACCCCTAGGCGCAGTCTCTCCTGTAGCTGCTAGGGGCTGCCCGCGCTCGTGCTGGTGGCCAGACAGGGCCTTTCTTGTCTGTGTTCACCCCTGCCACACCTTTGCACACACAGTTCCTCACCCTGTGCAGCTCTTCCTCTGTATTTCTCAGTTCTCAGCTGACACCTTCCCTGACTCCACCGAGGTCAGAGCTTTTGGCGTGGCATCGCCATATGGCACCCCAGACGTTGCCTCTTTGAATAGAACTGCCCCTTGTGATTCACTCCGCCATCCACCCAGGCTGTGGCCTCCTTGCTCTGCGCAGTGCCCATCTTGCTCGTCGTTGCACCCAGTGCCCAGGACATGCTTGGAACCTGAACAGAGGGAACCCTTGGAAGCCAGGGCCTGCGCTGGAGGGAGACAGGCTGAGGTACTGCCGCGGGCGAGCCCCGGTAGAGGGAGTTTATTAGAGAGGCAGGGGCAAACAGATATTTACACAAGCCGCGCAGGCCATTAAAAGAAGCAGAGGCAGGGAGGGGGCGTTCCAGGAGCAGCTCAGACGAGTTCCACCTTGGCATTGGGGTACACCGCCACCACGTCATAGCCCTCCGGAGGCTTGACGCGCGCCTTGGCGTGGCTCTCGCAGTACAGCCGCTCATCCAGAAAGAAGTATCCGCGCTGCTTGAGGTTCAGGCCGCAGTCGCTGCACATGAAGCACTCGGGGTGGTACAGCTTGTCCCGCGCCTTGACGATGGTGCCCCTGTTGGGAAACCAGCAGAGGACAGAGTCGGGCGACAGATTAGCAAGCACTGCGCAGCCCAGGGCGTCGGGCACGTCGGGGTGAAGCGCGGCCGCGTGGGGAAGGCAGAGGTGGGTACTCACACAATGCCGTGGCCGCAGCGTGTGCACTCGGGCAGCCCCTGCAGGCCGCTCAGCGGGGCTCCCAGCTTGCTGGTCGTGGATTTGAGGTTCCGGGGGCCACCAGGCCCGGGCCGCTCCCCTGAAAGCGGGAGCGCGGGTGGCATCAGCCAGGTTCGGGCGGATGGAGGTCAGAAAAGGTAAAAACCGCACTTCTGCGGGATGTGGGGCTGAGCCGGGCTTCCGGGGACTTCGGCACGCAGCCCGGGGAGGAGGTTTGGAGGGCGTGAGGAAAGGGGCTACGACCGGGTCGGCGCCGCCAGGGATGTGGGACCACACCGAGAAGAGGGAGGGACGGATGGCTAGGAGGCAGGACCTGGGGTCGCGAAGGCGCCGCTTGGGGGCGGCAGGGGGACGGCCCGAGGCCTTCAAGGAGTGGGAAGACGCGTGGGGACGGGGGAGAGCGTCTTACCGCCCTCGCTGGCCTCCAGCATGCCCTGCAAGTAGCGGAAGGAGCCTGACTGCTTGGGCTCCGCAGCGGCCGGGGGCTCGGCGGGCTCCCGCAGCATCCGGTACACTTCGGAGCCCAAGTCGATGCCGCCGTCTCGGCTCTTCGGGAGGCCTCTGGCTGGGTCAGTGCTGGGCGAAAGAGATGCGCGAAGGGACAGGGTTGCAGTGCCAGCCTTCACTCTGCCCGCTCAGGGGTCTGGTGAAAGTTTCATGGGTCAGAATGCAGGCAGCTGCGACCCACGGATCAAGCGTCAGGGTCAGGATGGGACCTAGAGAGATGTGAGGGATCAGGGCTTAAGAGGGGATCTAGGTGTGGCAGCAAAAGCCACATTTCCGGTACTACCTGTAGGGTGGAGACACATGCAGGCTGCTCATCTGGGCCAGCAAGGCCGCCTCATTGCTGCTGCCATTGTGAGGGGCGGGGAGACGAGGTGACTGCCCATAAGGAGATCGGCCATTTTCGGGGCCAATCCCCGAGGCTGAGGACCGCCTGCTGGTGGTTGGACTGCCATCCTGTGAGAAAGAGAGAGGCCTGAGGCACGGGGAGACCCTCTGAGGTAGGGCCTCTGGCCATTCCTGGTAGACCCACTCCCTCCCCTGCCATGCTTGGGCCTTCTTGGATGCCTGCCGGCTACCCCTGCTCTGGCAGCTCTAGGCGATGGTGCCCAGGCAGGGAGGGCGTCTGTGGGGAAGGGCTGAGCCTTGAGCCTGATTCACCCCGCCCCCAAACGCCCATGGAAAGTCAGATGCAAAAACCCAATGCCTGAGGCTCAGCCTTGGCTCAGGAGCCCTGCGTGGTTCCACCACCAGGGGGCATCCCCAATGGCTCTATGAGGCCAGCACAGCTGGAACAGAGTGTACGGCTTCCCTGTAGAGGTGGTCCTGGTGCCAAACCTCCCTACCTGCCAGAGACGTCCGGGATTCTGGATGGGCAAGTGGCTAGAAACAAAAAAGTAACTCCTGTCCTGAAGCCAGGAAGGGTCATCAAACACTGTGTGCCCACGGGCCTTCGGTGGGGGAAGGCTGAGACACATGCAGGCTGCTCATCTGGGCCAGCAAGGCCGCCTCACTGCTGCTGCCATTGTGAGGGGCCGGGAGACGAGGTGACTGCCCATAAGGAGATCGGTGTGCCAGTGTGCCCTTGTGTGGTCAGCCCCCTCTAGGCTTCCACCTCTACCCCCATTTCCTGCTCCCCAGGCCAAATTGGTGGCCTTCCACAGGCATAGCAGATGAGGGGCAGAGGCAGGGCCAGGGTTCAGGGCTGCCCAGCCACTAACGCATGGCCAGTCTGATGCCATGGCTGAAATGTTTTGGGGAGGAGTGCCCCAAACATGCCTCCTCAGCCCATAAGAAGGGGAGGATCTCTGTGGGTGTGGGTCTCAAAGGGGACCATGGGTCCCTGTCCCCACAGAGTCTGGGGCTGTGTAGGCTCACGTTCACGGGCACACAGCAATGCAAACACAGGCACACACACTCTCACAAGTGTGTTTACAGACTTACACACGATGAGGACAACACACACCAGCCCCACCTACATAACCTAGTCACACACACTCAGAGCCAGTGCTGGTCACCCTGGGGATGACCACTGTGGCCTCCATGGCTGGAACAAGGTTGGTGGCCACAGCAGCCTGACTGAAGGCCATTGAAGGTGGTCTCGGCCTCAGCCTGCAAGGTGACGTATAAATTTCCCTTTGCTCTGCTGTGGGGACAGGGACGCTAGGTGCGGAGGGAAGGATGCCTAACCTGGGGGAATGAGCCTGACTTGAGCTCAGGCTGCCTCCAGCACGGGGGCACTGCCAAGGCCGCAGGGCTTTGCCAGACTGCCCCTGCTTTCCGCAGGCTCGCAGCTGGGCAGGAGCTTGGGGAATGAGAGGGTGGGCCAGCAGCCGAATGGGGGTGATACCACCACATCCCCCACCCCAACGGACAAAGGAGAAGGTCTCGAACTGCCCAGGTGGGCCCCCATTAAGGATGCGACAGCAGCAGGAAAACTCGTGTTCCCTCTGGGCCCAACATGAGCCCCTGGGAAATCTGAGCAGTCAAGTACTTGTGTCTGGGGGCAAGCAGGCAGACAAGGCTGGCCTGGCCTCTAATGGGGACCAGATGGGCCATGGGGCCATGGGGGCAGGGCTGGGCCTGGTACAGAGGAGGCTTCAACAGGAAGGGGAAATCAGAGGGACCTGGGGGAAGGAGGCCCTCACTCATGCCCACCCAGCGGGGTGTGAGGCTGTGGCATGGCCTCTCTAGGTCTGAACTCAGTGGATAGGGCATAGTGACCTCAGTCTTGATTCGAGTCCCAGCTCTATCACTCATTAACTGAACAAGTCACTTCACCTTTGAACCTCTGTGTCTTCCTCTGTGAAATGGAACATATGATGAGCTCTATGTCATAAGTTCCTTGTGGGGATACAATGAGACGGTTGCATATAAGGCATTTAGCATAGTGCCTGCCACAGAGCAAATGCTTGTTGGATAAATAGCTGTCATGGGCATTCCTGAGCCCCATTCCTGGGTCCCCCTCTCTGTGGTGGTGCACCTGGTCCCATGTGCTTGCGCACTCTGAGTACCTGCCAGCTGCTGATTCGGTTGTTGAAGCCTCAGCTGGATTAGTGAGCAGGATGGGGGTAACTGCCTCCTTGCTCATCAGCACCCATGTGACTGTGGTCAGAATGTGGGACACTCAGCTTGGACAGAGGTGGGTGCTGAGTCAGTGGCACCTTCCAGAAGCCAAGCTCCAGCCCTCTGCTAGTCTGGAGAGAACAGGCTGAGTGTGAAGGGCTGCCTGCTGCACCTGGCTAGCCTTAACCCGTCTCCTGGTTCTCAGCTTAAATGCCACCCTCTCCAGGAAAACGCTCCTTGTCACCATCCTTTCTCCACTCTGGACGGTGCCAAGTGCCTCCCGTGTTCCCACGTGAGGCTCAAGAGGAGCACCTCCTATAACCCTACTCGCAAGGTCGGCCTGAAGCTCCAGTTGGCCCTGTTGCACCCCACGTGGGGTTGGTACCAGGGCATCTTGTGCTGGTTTTAGGGCCAACTGTGGTTTTCTGCTGCTCTGTTGGCTCCAGCTGGGCCCACCCCCTCCCCCCTGCAGGCAGAGGGTGGGAACAGTGTGGGACAATGGGCCCTGTGTCTGTGTTACTTTGGATACAGCTTTTCAGGGGCTGGGTGGGGGAGTTTCTTTCGCCACCCATGGAGCTTATGACCTTTTAAGTACAAAGGCAGGCAGCCCTGTTGCTTATGGAAAATCCCTTTGCTTCCAGCCTCAACAGCCTGGTCCTAGAAGAGGTCATGGGGACAGGGGGAGTTGCTCTGCAGTCCTCAGCCCCCAGGGCCCACTGGCCCCGAGCCTTTCCTAGAGACCCAACAGAGCAAGCTGAGGCCCCTTTGTCCTACCCATCCTGGCCTGAGCCTCACATAGTGGGCCTGTGCTCCGCTGCTCAGCTCTGTCTGGCCCATGTCAGGTGTGGCTGACCTGCCACGTGTCTCCCCCCCTCACACTCTCCCCCTGCTCCTACAGGCCCTGGGTTCATGGGACTACCAGAGCAAGGTTCTGAGACACAGGTGTGGCCATGAATCTCTGCAAGAACAGCTGAGGTTCTGGATAGAGCAAACCAAGAGCCTCTTTGTGACCCTGCCCTATCACCTTACCCCTCACCTCTCCCCTCCCACCCCCTGGGACCTTTCTTTCCTCTGATCTATGGTATACAGACTCACCTTTGGGCCTTGGTATATGCTTCCTGGCACATGTGTTCTTTCCGTACTTTTCCCTACCTTATTCTTCCTCCTTCGGGTCTTGGCTTAGATACTCCCTCCTCCAGGAAGCCCTCTCTGATTCCTTGATAGAGTCATGTGGACTTAGACCCCTGGCTTCTACCATCCCAGAACTGGTAAGTGTCTCTACGCTTCCAGAACAGGTACTCCCTGGCATGTGATAAGCATCTGACCTCACCAGCAAGGGAAAGGTAGGGAGCAAATGTCAGAGTAAGTTGGAGACTGGGATAGATGGTGAGGGACAGGCCACAGCAGATCTTCTCTTCTGATACAGCGAAGCCTCCATAGCAAGAGTGGACACAGCAGGCCCAGCAGGCTATGGTCCCACGTGCTCGGGTTCACGGTTCTAGCTCCATCACGCACCAGCCCAAACTCCACCTTGCCCAAACTAGGTGACATGGGGATGTTGAGCTGGCTCTGGATACTGAGGTCTTGCCAACTGGCTGCCCCACAAGCCCATAGCAAAAAGAGGTCACAGAGCAGCCTGGATCCCCTCACTCTCCTTGAGGACAGCACTGTGGCTGCGACTCTTGTCATACGCAGAGGTGACTGAGCAAGTAGTCCTCCAGCCTGAGGTCTGCTAGGCACAGTCACAGGATGGCCAGGAGAAAATTTCAGCATTGGACAGGGCAAGGGACTGCCTGGCATTCTAAGGTCAGCCCTGTGGCTCCAGCCAGGTCGGTACCCAAGGCTAGGATGAAACGGAAGAGCCCCACATTGCCTGAGGTCACTCCATAGCCTAGTGACATCCTCCTGGTCTGGCACCATTGGGCACCAGAGTGAAACCCAGCAGGGTGGGTGGCAGCCCTGAGCCAAGGCCTGGCCCAGTCCCTCCTTACCACGGACACCTTAGTGCCAGACCCAGGGCTTGCTGGAGTACACTCAGAGCCCCCAGCGGGTGCCCATCACCTGGGGAACGTGGGATGGGGCTGGGCATGGCCCAGAGAAGCCTTCTGCTTCAGTCTAGCCTGGGCATCCAAGAGCCTCGGTGAGGACATCCAGTGCAGTTAAACTTGTGGTCCAGGCCTGGCCCCTCTTCCTGGGCATGCTCTGAGCCTTTACATACCTGGGCCTCGGGCTCAATGTGGATCCTGTGTGCCTGAGCCTTGCTGTCCTCTGGGGTACCGGGCCAGCTCCTGCCTTCAGGCCTGTGGCAGGAATTAGGATGGTCAGATATTTCTGCTTACTATGCCTGGGAACTAAGGCCCAGAGGGGCTGGGTTCTGGGTCCAGAGACACCCAGGGCTAGGCCTGGCACCCCTGTATGGAGAAGGACATCACTTCAGTGCTTTCTCCTGTGCCTAAATGGCAGCCATTGTGGCAGGGAGACTCTAGATTTGCCAACCACCTGGGATGGGGCTGTGTGTCCCAGCTGCTCCATCCCTCTCTGGTCTGACTCCCAGACAGGAAGCTGCAGCTTCTCCATTCTTCTACTGTCTCTGTGGCCTACCCAAATAAGCTCAGCCCGCAGGGGGGCCCCCTCCCTGCAGGGTGAGCCAGGCCCCTCATGTCTACCTGCCATCCCCTTGTCCCCTCACACATCCCCTCACCCCTCTCATCCGTGGGCTCTGGGGTAGGCTGAACGGAGGAGGCTCGGAGGGGCACGCCTCCCTCCTGCTGATGCTGGCAGAGTCATCACCAATGTCTACCCGGCCCAGATGGGAAACAGGCCATTAGGAAATTCCTGCTTCACCATAGAAACCAGAAGCCAAACACCACTCAGGAGGGAGAAAAACATCGTAAACCTGCCATAAGCAGGGCAGATGGGCGGGCGGAGAGGCTACAGGCCGGGGCCCAGGCCTGCCACTCAGTAGCCCTGTGGGGAGGCAGGTGGGGCGGCGGGGGCGGGGGGGTGGGGCATGCGTGGACTTTGGGCTGTCCGGTGGGTGTGAAGGGAGGCTGGGTAGACCAAAGGGGAATAATGTCCCCACTTCACCCCAAAAGGCCTCCTGGGGTTTCTTGACCGCTCACCAGGGGGCCAGCCGCTCAACCCTCTCTCTCTCCCCCAGGCAGCAGAGGGCTTTTAACACTTTCTGCACGTGTACTCCACACCCACTCTGCGCTTCCTCACCTTTGCCCATCCCTCTCTACCCGCAGCCTTCTGGGGGTCTGTGGCAGGGACCTCTGCTGCCCCTGGGGCAACACTGCACTCCTGGCATCTGGTTCCAGGCCTCTCAGCCAGGCTACTGGGTGACCACCCCAACTCAGCTCTTATGAGGCCCCCCACCACAGAGAGCGCTGGGGTATGCCTGACAGGAGTGTGGTGGCCACCTGCCTTCTGCTTCCCCAATGTTCTAGCCAGAAGAGAAGTGCAAGTCTGAGGTCTGAAGGTCAGAGGGCACAAAGTCCCTGGAGTCACGAGGGTGGCTCTGGGCGTCAGGTCAGAATGAAGGGCTTATTCAGGCGTCCGACTGCACGGCCAGGCCTTCACTTCAGGCTGCGCAGGGGGCCCCACCTGCCACCGTTAGGCAAAATGACGGCCTAAGGTGGGCTGTGCGAAAGCCTCTGAACCACACATAATAGGCCACAGAGGCCCCGCTGGAGGCCCCAGGGCTGGAGCTGACGCTGGGCCAGTCCCGGCCCCATGGAATATGCCCAGCGAGTGTGGGTTAGCTTGAGCTGTTGGACACCTGGCTTTGAGTTCCAGACCAATAGGCATAGCAGGGAATCTGGGTCTCTACTTCATTCTCCATCCTCTGGAAAAGCCCGTGGAGGGTCAAAGCCCTCCTCTGTACACAGGAGGCCAGGGAGGGCAGCTGGGCTGGGTGGAGCCCATGTTGAGGGGCCTTGAGGGCCCAAGAGCAGCATAGGATAGGTCCTGGCAGGACAGTGAACAGAGTCGGGGGCCTTGCAGGTTGGAAGGTGCCCAGGAGAAGAGAGGCTGACCCAGAGGATCTACGTGGCCCCTGTTCTTGATTCCCAGCATCTGCAGGTGTGATCACTGGGGGCAGGGCTGGGGGACAGGACCCCAGGTTTTCACCCTGACTGAGCAGACTTGGTATGTCATCATCACTCAGTCCCCAGATCACAAGACAGCCCCCTTTTGGAGTTGAGGGAGCACAGGGCTCTGAAATGAAATCACTCGCTGGAGGACCATAGTTCCCATGTGCAGAGCTGGGCCAGGAACTGTGGTAACAGAGAGTGTGCTCGCACCTGCTCCGTGGCCGGGCAGCACGTTGGGCTGAAACGCCAAGAGTAGAACAGGTCAGAGGACCCCTGGCTCCATGCACACCAGGCTCGGAACAAATGACCAGGGAAGGAAGGAAGGAAGGGGGCCCTCCACCCTGCCCCCACCCCACCACCCTTCCCTGACATCATTGCCTCTGGTAACCTCCTGACTCACACCCTCTGTGAGCCTCCCCCCTCTCACGCCCCCGCCGCCGTCATCCCCAGCCCCAACACCACCAGGGCTTCCCTTATTCAACCAGGACAGTCAAGGCTAGAGGTGAGTCAGGGCCCAGGAACCCAGCCAAGTGCGGCGGCTCTAGAGGCCACTTGTGGCCAGAGCAGTGCTGAGGTTTCTGAAGTCAGCCTGCGCCTCAGTCTGGGAGCGGGTGATGGATGTGACCCTGCTTTGTGGAGAAGGAACACCAGGCCCACAGAGGTCATCTGGGGAGCCTAAGACCCCAGGGCCTGGAAGAGGACCAGTTCTGTGCTGCAGTCCCCACTCTGGGGCCTCTGCACCATGGGTCAGGTGGTGTGCACATGGCCTGAACTTAAGGCTGGAGCCACTTAGCACAGAGAGCACAGCCAGGGGCCTTGACCCCAGTCTGGACACCGACCTGGGCCAGACACAAAAGGGGGCTACTTCAGAAGCCTTCCCACTCTGTGTGTAATGGCTCTAGGCCGATGGGTCACCCCCTCCCTGCCGCCTCTAAGGCACGGCTAGCTGTGCTGTGGTTTGGGGAGGCTTCTCCCACGCATGTCCAGAGTGGGCTGTGGAAAGTCCCTGTTAACAGTGAATGTGACAGAGCTCAGCACTTATGTCTGACTTCCCTGGATCCAAGAAAGACAGGGGCAGAAGGATCCTACTCAGCCACAACCCAGCCGACTGCCATCGGAGCTGAACAAAGACCCAGAGCCTGAGTGACCTTCCACTAGACCATCTATCTATACGGTGCACACGGGGTGTGGTGACTCCCCACTCTCACCCCTGCGATGGGCTGTGTCACATTACACTGTCCATGGCATCCAGATGTAACCAGGGTGGAGGTGTGGGCCACAGTGGAGACAGTGAGGTACCGCAGCTATGGGGCTGGCAGGAGTGCTGTGCAGCTAAGCACACGCAGAGGAGCCTTTGGGAGTGAGAAACGTGGGAAGCCAAATTTGCTTCCCAGCTCCCTCGATGTGGGACTTGAAGCCCTCTCTAGTCGTTCTGAGCCTCAGTTGTCCCATCTGTAGATTGAGGACTATATTAGGTTTTACTTTATCAAGTTGGTTTGAGGGTTCAATGAATAAGAAGCTTCTTTGAAATGGTCATCAAGCTGGTCACGTGAGGGGGGAAGGGATTGAAGTCACCCCTCCTGAGGCTGCCCAAGCAAGGTCTTATTTCAGCTCTGATTTTGGACTGCCCACTGCCACAAGTCCCCCAACACACGTCCAGCCCTGAGTTAAAACAGGGCTTTTTCCCTTCTTAAAGTACTACCCATACCCAGCGCCTGCCAAGCCCCCATGAAAGCATTCCTCCTTAGGACAGGGATGTCCCGCAGCTGAGGCGGTGAAGCTGTGAGACCCAGCTCACTCAGCCTGCTGCCCACCCATAACTTACCCTCCCCTTAAATTGTTCCCCATACCAGTGGCCCTGGCCCAGCCGGCCCTGCCCATACCTGCTCACGGAGAGTGTGAGGTGGTCGTGGCAGCCCTTGATGCGGTTCTGCGCCTCCAGGTGAGTCATGAGCTCCGTGCTCTCACCGTTGATGGCCTGGATCAGGTCTCCAGGGCACAGGGCCGCTAGTGCAGCCTTGCTGCCAGCATGGACCTGCAGGCAGACAAGCTAGATGACTGGACACTGGTCACTGTGTGGCCTTGCTGCAGGCTTTGCTCTTGACCCCTGCAACTACTGGAAACTAGCCAGTGTGGCCCTGCTGCCAACATGACCCGTGGGTGGGCAGGCCAAGAGACTGGCTGAGCTCCCATGTGGCCTTGCTGCAGACAAGGGGGATATTACTGCCGCAGCTTGCGTATCTGCCCGAGGATATGCAAGGGATGCACAGGGATATACGTGCTCCTCGATACAGACAAAGCATGGACATGTCATGGATACCCTGCATAGACGGTGCCCCCCCAGATAGATCACATAGTGGGCCCTCAGCTGACATTCAAATCCTTCATGACCTTGGCTTCCTACCTGTTTCACCCTCACCCCACAGTCACCTCCACCCACCCACACTCTATCTAAACCATCTGAATGCCCAGGGGTACTCACGGGCACCAGGTCTGTCTTACCTCCACACATGTGCAGATGCTGTTTGCTCTACCTGGAACATTCATTCTTTCCTATGACCCCAAATCCTTATTACCAGCTTTCTCCTCCTCATCCTTCCAGTCTCAGCAGAGAGGCTATTTCCCCGGGGAGCCCCCACTCTGGCCTCTCACCATACCACTCTGTCCCACTCTGTTCAGTGAATGTTGTTAGCGCCCCACCCTAGGTCTGGGGCATCACCTCCCCACATTTTCCAGGGCCCTCTACTTCTGGTTGCCAGCCTGCATTCCTGGGTCACAACTTCACCTCCACTTCTTCTGCAGGACAGGCACGCAGGCCACCCAGGGTCACCACTGACCCCAGAGGGTCGAGTGGTGTCCACAGCCGGAGCCTCTTAAGCAGTGCTGGTCCCCAGATGAGGGACCCTTTGAGGCTGGGGCTGGGCTCATGGGGAGGCCTGAGGAGGCAGCCCAGGGAACCCTTCACCCTGTCCACAGTCTTGGCACAGCCTTTGGAAATGGACACTAAGCACCCTCATTCTTACCCAGTTTCTCCAGCAGAGCCCAGCTGTGGCTCAAGAGCTGCCAGTCACCTGTTCTTACTGGGGGTGGGGGTCGGGGGTCCGAGTTTCTGGAAACCCAGCCAGGTTCAGCTTAGCTAGTGCCCAGTACTGAGTGCACAGAGCTGAGGTGCTGGCAGCTCCTTAGCTGTAGTCCTGGTGTGCGCACTGCCTGAGCTGACCTGCCCCAAAATAGGCTGCCCCAAGGAATGTTCTGGAGCATGACACCTACAGCCACCTGCCACCATTAATGCTCACTCACATGGCCTGGGTACCTGCACAGGCCTGTCCTCCCTGGGGAGGGGCCCACTGGGCTCCATCCCACCCTCCCCTCAAGGCTCTGCCCCAGGCCCCTCTCCTTCATGGATACACATACGTGCTCCATGACATGGCCCAAGCTCAGCGCTTTGCCCACAACTAGCTCATGGCAACCTCTCAAACTCCTGGTGAGACAGAGGCATTGTCCTCACTAATCACAGACAAAGAAAGAGAGGCTTAGGAGGAGGGGCAGCTCACCCCAGTCCCCACCCTGGAGAGGAGTCCTCTTCCTCAGGGGGGCCCATAGCTGTAGGATGACTCAGCCAACACAAGGGTTCATTCAGGCTCCTGTGGGTGGGGAAGTTCTCGAAAGCAGAGGTGGCTAAACTCCTGCCAGCTCCACTAGCCTGGAGAGTTCTGGTCAGACAGGGCGAAAGGCCAGGAAATGGTGACTCTCACAACCGACTTTCCTTACATTGTCTTGTTAACTCTGAAGGCCAGCCCATTTGCTAGGTGAGTTAACTGAGGTCCAGAGAAGGGCAGAGGGACCTTCAATTGATAGATAGGAGTTAGGATTTCAATCCAGGCTAACCGGCTCCAAGACCTATGCTCATAACTACTGTGTACTTCTCTGCAAAAAGGGAGGGAAGGAGAGCGTATCCCAGGTCATCGTGTATAATGGCTTATCTGGGAGAGCGAGTAAGAGCAGGCTTGCAACTGAAGCATTGTTAGTGAGTGGAGAGAGAGTGGAAGAGATAAAGTCAGAGAAGGAGCAGGGGCCAGACCTGTGGGCTCAGTAGGCCCAGGTAAGAAGCTGCCATTTTTCCTAGGTAGGTGGGAACCATGGAGGGCTCTAAGCAGGGAAGTCACAGGACAGAGTTGAATTCAAGCCCATCCTTCTGGCTGCTGAGTGCAGGATAAACAGACAGACGGAAGGGAGGCAGAGAGCAGTGAGTCAGCTGGGAGGCTGGGGCATGAACCAGCCCCTCACCTGCAGCCGCTATGACATCCCCAGCCCCTGCTCCACTCCACCTAGCCTAGAGGCTGTGATGGCCAGGAGCCAGAGAGTCAGTGCCATGTCATTCCATACAGTCACAACAAGCTCCAGACGCGTCTGGACTCCTGTCCCTGCTCTGCTTCTCTGGGCACACCACCTTAGCCTCTCTGAGTCTTAGTGTTCCCATCTGTAATATGAGACCAGAAGGAGTTCTCCCTTCTTAGTGCTGCTGTGAGGACAATCTGGGATCATCAGGGCAAAAAGCTTCCATGGGGCGTTGGGCACACGGTGGTGTTCATTCCAGGCACTGGTTGCTGGGGAGCTGGGACCAACACCCTGCAGGGTGTGGCCTGGAACGCTGTGGATGCGCTGAAGCCAGCAATCTCCATGGTGTGTGGGGAAGGAGCCCTGGACAATTTATTGGAGGTTGTGTAGGCTAAGGTTGCAAGGTCCCGGCTATGCTAGGCAGCCAGCCTCCTTCCTGTCTGAGTGTGGCTATCCCTGCTGAGTGGGGGAGGCCCTGGAAGCATGGGAGGGTTGGGTCTCTAACCCCTGCATGTGGGGACTCCCACTCATCCTCAGTGTCTGCGGACTTGCCCTTGAGGTATCTGCTGGGCACGCTGGGACCTGTGCCTCCCCAACCCCGTAAATCTCCTCAGATCCCACCCAAACCCAGGCTCAGCCATCCCGGCTCCTCAGTCCTGAGCTGCTGCTGTGTGACTTTGAGGGACAAGGTAGGGCGGTACTTCCAGGCAAACCATCTCCCAGTCTATCTGCTGGCCAGGAGCCTGCATCACTATCAGCTCCAAACAAGGCCGCTGCCGCCACCGTGACGTGTGGAGGCCTTTCCTCTGCCGGCAGGCAGCCGCGTGGGCAACAGATGTCTCTGCTCCCTGCCGCCTGTGGCCGTCAGCCGCCGCCGCTCAGCCTGTCAGCGGCCTCACGCCCAGGGTGCCTGGCCCACCGGCTGGCCTAGCGCCCTCACCAGCCTGCCTCTGCAGACACACAGCACGACACACCCAGCAGACACAGATGCTCACACACTCCCCCCTCCAGCAGGGCTCCCTAAGGGAAATGGGAGATGAAAGGCTCCCGGACATGCTGAGGGCCTAGCTCACTCAGCCCCAGGGGCCTGGCAGTGTGGGGTGAGGGCAGATGTGGGAAGCCTCCCAGGACAGCTGGGCCTGCCTGTCACCCTGGCCCCCAGAAAAGGGATTCCATGATCCCACGCTCCCCCGGGTGACCACCCCCCTCCCAAGAACTGGACAGATGTCTGAAAGTCCAGCCAGCTTGGTCCAGCCCCCATGGCGAGAGATGGCAGTAGAGTGAGGGAGGGTGGTCTTCAGGTCTCCTGACACAGGCCCCCGGAAAGGCCAAAGCAGGTGTGTGGGAGCAAGGATTGGCTCTCAGATGTTCCCAGGTCCCCTCCCCTCTTCCTTCCAGACTGGGCCTGGGTTTTCTCCTTGTCTTTCCTCTAGGCTGGGAGCCCCCATGGGCCGAGTCTGAGCCCCCTGTTCTGGCCCTGCAAACTATGGGGTCCCAAGGCTGGGCCAGGATCCCATCTCCCCCAGAGTGGGCACGCTCTCTGACAGGGCCCGAGTCCTTTCTTCTGCCTCTCTGTCCTCAGATCAGCCTCGGCCCAGGGCTGTGCCCCCTTCTCTTCCTCCTCTGTCCTGAGCCCGGGGCAGTGTATGGTCCTGGAATCTTGAGGACCTGGGCTGAGTCTACCCTGGCCCCCGGCCTGGTGGGAAGAGGTCTCACAAGCCTTTAGTCACACATCCCTTTCCCCTGGTTACTTCCCCTTAGGTCAACTGAGGTCATTGATGAGAGACTGACAAAACCAGAGTGGGCAAGTGAACGGATCTTTCACTTTTCGAATTCAGGGAGGAACCAGCTCCTCTGGACATGACCATTGATAAGGGGAGGGGACTCCCCATCATTCTGCCCCAGATTTCAGATGGGTTCAGTCTAAGCTGTGTTTCTGAGCTTCTGTAGATCTGTCCAGACCCCTGGCCCATGACTGCTGTCCTTCCCTAGCCTGCAGTGACTGTCCCAAAATAAGGCCAGCAGGGAGGCTGGTGTGTGAGCCCGTGAGGTGTTCCTCAAGGGATAGGGCAGGCAGGCCCGGGGGAGGGAGGAAAGGGGGTTGAGGCGACACTGTCTGGCCTGGAAGCCTCCTCTACCTTCTGCGAATCACCCAGGTAAACCCTTAGCTTCCGAGCCTCAGGAACGTCGGGGATACGGGTCCCAGGTGGATCGCGAGGACCGGGTCTCCGATCCAGGACCTCCCCGCCGCCCCGTGGCTACTGGACTCACCCGAGAGATCGTGAGGGGCGCGCTGAAGTCCCGGCCTCCCACCAGGCGGAAGCCCCAGGGCGAAGGGCCGCGCAGGGTCACGGAGTGGGGCATCGCTGGCCGGAGCCGCAGCGGGAGCCAGAGCCGGACACTAAGGAGCCGCCGCCACCGCCGCCGCCGCCTGGACGCTGCGCCCCGCCCCCGGCCCGCCCGGTCCCGGACCCCCCTCCGCCCGGCCCCCGCTCCCCGCGCTCCCGGATTGGCCCCGCGGCGGTCCCGACCCTCCCACTTCAGGGGGCTTTGAAGACCCGCCCCTCAGCCCTGGCGCCTCCCGCCTCGCACGCCCTCGGGGCTCTCGGAGACCCTCGGGCCGGGACGGCCCCGACGTCCCGGATCCTGCCCCGGCTTGCGCGGTGCGGGCCGTGGATCTGAGCCCGGCTGCGGAAGCTGGGGCACAGGCCCTTTGAAGTAGCTCCTTCGGGGCGGCGCCCAGCGCAGGGAGGGATGAGGTGGGGGAGGGCAGTGGCGGCCCAGATGGGGGATGGGGCCGTGCCTTGCTCAGAAACCTCCTCAAAGTTCTGGCAGACAAACCTGCACCTCCATCCCTCGGTGCTGCGAGTCCTCCCAACGGCGAACACTGTTGAGGAGCCCTGCGCTTGAACAGGCCTGGGGTGGGGACACGCAGACCCAGTGTGACAGCCCGCACTGCCCAGTATGGGGGTGGGAGCAGAGCAGGACGGCTCTGGTAGAGGTGGCTCCTGACTTGTCCCTGCTTCCCCAGGACACTGAGACTTTCTCCAGCACAGTCCTCTCTCCGGGCTTCCTGGGAAAGGAGCAGCTAGGCTGACTGGGGCAGTGGCTGTGCTTCCCGGAGGGGAGTGAAGTGCCCGAGGGGAGTGGATTTGTGTGCAGCCCTTCACCTGGGGCCCTTCCCGGTCTTCTCCCCACTCCCTACCGTCGGACTCCAGGGATGCCCTTGAGCAGCCTTGGCAGGTGCCTGTCTTGGCCAGGGCGCTGCCCACCACCCTCAGGCTCTTCTGGACACTGTGGGCCTGGCTACACGGGGGTAGCAACAGTGTTTGAGCCTCCACATGCTGGGGACGTCCCTAGTTTAGCCATTCTCAGCAACCCTGTGTCCCCTCTTGGCCAAGTTCCGGTAGGGGTTCTGTCCTCATCAGGCTCACAGGCTGTGGGGTGAGGTGTGTCTGGAAGTCTTTAGCACTCCCAAGGGGAATGGCTGCTGGCGGGGCCATCCAAGGAAGGGGGGCACCCTTTGGGGTGCTGCTGTTTGTTGGGCTTGCAGAGAAATGGGAGGGGTATGTGTAGCAGTGGTGTGGGGGGGGGTGTCCATACCCCCAGCACCTCAGCCACTGGACACCTAGCACTGTGAGCGGCACAGGTTTCTGGGGTCCACATTGACACAGTGGAAGGGCCAGTAGGAGAGGTGGTGTCCAGATGGTCTCTCAGAGGCCCTTCGCCAGAGGCTCCCTAGGACTTGGATGTCACTGAGTGACTTGGGGAGTGGGTCATCCATCCCCTATCACTGACTGTATAGGGTGGGCTCAGGAGGGAGCCGCTCTTCCACAATCTGGTACATGAACTTGCCCATTTTGTTGTACAGTTTCTGGAGCAGTTCCAGGGTCCATGCCAGTCATCCCCCAAAGGAGGCTCTTTTAAAAAAATATTTTATTTATTTATTTTTAGAAAGAGAGGAAGGGAGGGAGAAAGAGAGGATGAGCAACATCTTGATCAGTTGCCTCTCATTCACGCCCGGACCGGAGGACCAAAGGAGCAACCCGGGCGTGTGCCCTGCCTGGGAACTGAACCAGTGAACTTTCACTTTGTGGGATGATGCTCAACCAACTGAGCCACATGGGTCAGGGCCCCACAGTAGGTTCTCGATGACACCTGTACTTGAGGACATCAGAGGTCCACTTCGGATAGGCCTGAGCTGGTCAGGATTCTGGATTCCATGGATGCCTTCCTAGGGTCCATGTTGTAAGCTCAGTGCTGAGGGACTCTGAGCCCAACCCATCCCAGTTCTTCCTCCAGGAAGTCCTCAAAATCTTCTTTTTGCTCTTAATGGCCTTGTTGCTAGGGGATTGCTGTGTTACTGAATCCCTAGCATGCTGGGGCACCAAGCTAGTACAGGCAGGTACGGGGTCTGGGCACCCCCTCCAAGGTGCAGTGTGGTAGCTAGGTCGTGCCTCACTCTGCCCCAGTGGCCGCCCTGCTCACCCCACAGCCCACGGGCATCTTTGCTGCCAGATATAACTGGCAGCTCGTTCCTCAAATTCTTTATCCGTGCACCACGTACTGAGTCCCCTCCACACCCCCGGCCGTGCCTGCCCCGGGCTGGGATCAACAGATCCCTGGGGGCAGGGCTGCATCTGTCTTATTTCTTCACATTTTCCCAGCACCTAACACAGTGCCTGGCACACAGAGGCATTAAAAAGAACGTTTGACATTAACAATGTTATCACTGCTATGGGAATTATTATCTCAGCTCAGCGCTTGGCCACAGCCCAGAGAGAGGCAGGGAGGGCAAGAGTGGGCTTTAGCTCCTGCTGCCGTGGACATCACTCCCAGGGGTCCTGTCTTTCAGAGGAGCCCCAAGCCCCAAGGGGATCCGGGCACCATGCCCAGAGAGTCTGTGCCCAGCCAAGTCTGTCCAAGGTCAGAAGAAACCACAGTGCTTTTTCCTCAATGGGTTGGCAGGTACTAGCAGGAGCAGGTGCCCTTGAGGGGTGGAATTGAGGCGGAGCCTCGGGAAAGGGGAGGGAAGGGCTGGGACAGAAACAACCTCAGGTGGAGGCTCAGGCCAACTCAGTGGACTGGCCGGAAGTGGAAGCAGCCTTGGGTGGGGGGAGTGGGGGATGGAGTTGGTGGAGAGCCCTTGAGGAGCCCTTCCTGTGAGATGCTAGGGGCTGACCGGAGAGCTCCAACCCTGATCTGCCCCGCCCTGGCCCAGGGTCCAGAAGCCTCTGGGTGGAGTCTGCCCCGTTAGGGCTCTGCCACCAGGGACCTCCTCCAAGGCCCAGGACCCTCCTCCCGGACAATAGCCTGCATCCCAAAGACATTGGGGTTCTTGATGGGCATCCTCTCTTCATAGGACACCCAGTCCAGTCCAGGGCCCCTGGGGGCAGCCAGGGAGGAACCCAAGTAGCCCCCATTGTGTTGTGGCCTCTTGGACCAGCTCCAGGGATCTGGCCACCCAGGGATCTGCTCCCCAAGAGGCCTGCTGGTCAAGAGTAGGAGCCTGTGAGTCTGTGGGATGGAGAGAACAGCAGTGGGGGGCAGGACTAGATGGGGTGCGGCCGCAGGGCCTTCTATAAGGCTAGGACTCAGCCCTGCAGGGACAGGGAGACACAGCAGGTGCCAGGCAGGGTTTGAGGGGCTCTGAAAGGGGTGGAAGCAGCCAGGGGCGTGAACCCCAGGCCACATCCAAATGGAAAGTCTGGGGTGGCGCAACCTGGGAGGCAGGACGAGGGCTGATGCCCCACGCACCCTGGGACCATGGACTACGTCAAGGAGGCAACAGAACTGGCCTCTGAGCTGCGCTGGGTGCAGCTAAGCACACAGGAGAGGGCGTGTCCGTGGAAGGGAGTTTCCCAGCTCTGGTTTCGTCCCATTTGATCCCTCAACAAACATTTATTGAATGCATGCTGTGTGTCTAGACCTGATTAACTAGTCTTGGAGTTGTGGCGGGGACTCCCCATGCTGCCTGGCCTTGCCTCCTCTGGGGCTGAGAGGCTAGGAGCTCCAGGGGGTGCCAGTCTCTGAGGGTCCCAACAGGGACAAAGCTGATTCTGACAAGTGGAACCTAGTCACTTGTCAAAGTCCAAGTTCCAGAGCAGACACAAGCACAACCAATTCTCCTCAGGAAAGTGGACCCTGAGGTGGAGAAGTGACCACTCTGAGCTCCCATAGCTTCTAAGCGGTGAATCTAAGCTTCTAAAACAGAGTTATGTTGGTGGCCTTATGCCATGTCCTTTGCAGCCAGGACTAGATGTGTCTCTGTCATACCTGCAACCCCCAACAGCACCCCTGTCAGACCTGCTTTGTCTTTGTTTTCACAGAGAAAACCTGTCTGCTCTGGGACTCAACAAAGGGGCTGCCCGGCAGCAGGGTGGAGGCTGGTTTACTCAGCTGGGCCCAGGGAGGCCCTGGCCCTGACCCTGGGAGCGGAGGGGGTGGGGAGGAGTGACATCTCACACAGAGGGAGGTGGCAGATGGCTGGGACAGCCTGGGTGGCTCATTCCAGTGCACATAGGGAAGTGACAGAACAGGCGGTGGCAATGAGACCCATGAGACTGAGGACTGTGCACCTGGGGGCTCAGGAAGGCAGCTTACCAGGCACCATGGTCGCCCCCTGCCTCAAGGACACCCCATCCTTACCCTCCCTCTCACTTCTCTTCCAGGCCGGAGGGTGCAGGCAGCCTGCTTCAGATCCCTCAGCCTCCCGTAGCCCCAGATGGAAGCCCAACCCAAAGGTTCTCAGGTTCCCAGCTTCCCCGATCCTTGAAGGCTTTTCTTGCAGAGAAGGTGCTCCTTCTACAAATCAGCTCCTCCGAGTAGAGAAGCAAAGGGATGGGGAGCGACTGCACTATGTGCCCATCCCACGCCCTGGACTCTCCGGTCCCAGCCTGCCCCTCGCTGTGCTCTGGGTCAAGCAGGGTGCAGGGCCTTCTCTTCTCAGCCCAGGGAGGGACACGTGTCCACAGGTGCAGGTGTGGCTCTACCCAAAGCACGGGGACGACAGAGAGGACACGAGCATGGGAGGCCACCCAGGAATCCAGTTCCCGGGGCTCCTCAGACTCACGCTGCTGCTCACCTACCAGTGTGGGACTCGCTGCCTGGGCCTGGACGCCTGTCCAGCTCGGACTGCCCAGTCCCCGTGCACACAGACCCCTACATTCAGCAGTGGCCTGGCAAGGACACCCTGGTCTTCTGGCTGAGGAACCTTTCCTCTCCCTGACACTAGAGCTGCCATCCAGGGCCGCTCAGAGGGCTGGGGACATCTAGGCCATTTCCATATTTCTCGGCTCTCAGTAAAATGCAAATGGAAGAAATGTGAAAATAGTGTTTTAAGAGTTATGGCATATGAACCCCCAAAACCCCAAACTGGGGTCCTGAATAAACACTTCTCCAAAGAGGACATACGCATGGCCAACAGACATGAAAAGATGCTCAGCTAATCATCAGAGAAATGATACAAATTAAAACCACAATGAGATATCTCCTCACACCTGTCAGAATGGCTGTCATCATTAAGTCAGCAAACTTGTTGGCGAGGGTGTGGAGAAAAGGAAACCCTCAAGCACTGCTGGTGGGAATGAGGATTGGTGCGGCCACTGTGGACAGCAATATGGAGGGTCTCCAGAAAATTACAAATGGAACTGCCTTATGACCCAGTGATTCCACTTTGGGGTATGTATCCAAAGAAACCCAAAACACTAATTCGAAAGAACGTATGCAGCCCTCTGTTCATTGCAGCGTTATTGACAATAGCAGCGTTATTGACAATAGCCAAATCTTTTAAAAAATCACTGTGTGTACCTGAGCAGCCTAAGTGCCCATCCATAGATGAGTGGATTAAAAAAGCAGTGGTATATTTACACAATGAAATATTACTTGGCCATAAAAAAAGAATAAAATCTTGCTGTTTGTGACAACATGGATGGGCCTAGAGGGTGTTATGCTGAGCAAAATAAGTCAGATAGAGAAAGACAAGTACAAGACAAGGGTTCCCCTTGTACGTGGAATCCAAAGGACAGAATAAATGAACAAACAAAACTGAAACATACTCAGACACGGAACAGACAAAAGGTTGCTAGAAGGGAGGGGCTGGAGAGACTGGGTGAAAAAGGTGAAGGGACTAAGAATACAGATCGGTAGTTACAAAACATTCATGGGGAGGTAAAGTGAAGCTGAAAGAATACAGTCAGTAATATGGTACTAACTGTGTATGGTGTCCCATGAGCACAGCAAATACCGGGGGCAGCACTTGGTGGAGTGTATGACTGCATGACCACTGCTCTGTACTCGGGAAACTAATTCAAAACACTATCAAATGTAAACTGTAGTAAAAATAAAGATATCTATTCTAAATAAAAGAATCTGCAACTGCATGGTTGGAGCTTTCCTTCTTCACACATGAAGCCCTTTTAAAGTCACAAAACTGGTTTCAGTTCTACAGGAGAAAATACTGAGGCACTGGCCTCAGAAATATCTAGTTTTTAATCCTAGTTCCTCGCTCTGGCTGATGTGGCTCAGTGGGTTGAATGATGGCCTGTGAACCGCGTGTCAGAGGTTTGATGCAGTCAGGGAGCATGTCTGGATTGCAGCCAGGTCCCCAGTAGGGGGCATGCTAGAGGCAACCACACATTGATACTTTTCTTCGCCTCTACCTCCCTTCTCTCTAAAAATAAATAAATAAAATCTTTTAAAAAATCACTGTGTGTACCTGACAGGTTACTTAACATTTCTGAGCCTTTGTCCTCTGTGAGACGAGACAGACAATACTAACTTCTGGATTGGTGTAGTAAATTACAGCACCGAATACATCTGCAGTATTTAGAAATAGTAGCTGTGGAGGTAGAGGCTCATTCATTCAACATTAAAGAGTCTTCTAAGAACCGAGCACTGGGCGAGGCACAGAGAATACAGCCAGCCCTGTGTACTGTTCACGGAACCCTAGTCCAAATGGACACAAGTCTTTTCAGTGGTTGGTATTCTGGTCAGTGGAGCTGGTAGGAATGGACCATAGCTTGTTTCAAGAGCGTGGGTTCCCCCCTTGGCCTCATTACCTTTCCCGACAGAGCACTCTAGTGAGATCGTGTGCCCCCACCTCTCCCACCCTGTGAGTCAGAACTCAGTGCCGGTGCAGTCGGCCTCCAATCTTCAGGGCGGGGGAGGGGCACGCAGCCGGCAGGGAGCAGCCGGTTGCAGTCTGGGTGTGGAGCGGGTGTTCCCGCTGCTGCTGCCGCCGTTGTTGTCTTCCAGCCATCTTGCCTCTTTGTCATTAAGGTAATGACGTTATACCGTGATGACGTCCTGCTTTAGAGAAAGCAAATAGACGTTTTCAACACCTGTGCTGTTTTCATAAATAAGTCAGTGTATCCCTACACCTGTTGGCTTGGTGGGGAAATAGAGCCAATTTTCTTCTCACTGAAAATTAGAACACAGTTCAGCCAGCCATGTTTTTGTTCTTCCACAGCAGAAAGGTAAGTGTGCAAGGAGCTGGTAAGTGTGGGTCTCTGACAAGTAAGAAAAGCAGGGATTTAAATGCACAGTTTCCAAAAAGAAGCTTCATTCATCACATTAGAACCAATTGAAATTGTATGAAACTTTATTTAGTAAAGATGCACCTTAAATTATTGGACAAGTATGGGGCTAAATATTACATGTGTATAAATTTTGAGTAAATTAAACTTTTAAGTACACAAGGAAAAGTTTGATACTTAAAGTCAGGCTATTGTTGTTTTTAATAAGTAAAACCATATCCCTTATATTTCTTTTATGTAAATTTAGAATTACATATGTGTTAACATATTTCAGATTCAGACTTATATTTCTAAAAATACTCAATAAGACAGAAACATCTCACATATTATATATGTTTTTCCCTGAATGGTGTTATTCTGTGTTTTTTACTTTTTAAGTATCTTTATGACTTTCTGTATTTTGCAGGGTCATATTCCAACAGCAATAAGCATGCCTATTCTTTTTATTATGATAAAATACTATAAAAATAAATATACATATACATGATATATTTATTTTTTTTAATTACTCTAATTTAAATTAATTTTGTATTAATATTTTTAAAAATGTGGACCCTCAAGTAACCTCAAAAACAGGCTGGGAATCATCTGACCTAGTTTCCTAAATGTTACTATTTGTACAACTTCCTGCTTTTTTGCCAAATCTGTGTATGACCTACATCGAGTATATTTTAAATCTTATCTTTTTACTTCAAAAGATTAAAAATGTATACAACTGTAATTGGACAACAATAAAATAACTAAAAAACAAAAGATTAGTTGAAAATGAAAATTTATATACTAATTCCACTTCAAAAATAATAATAATTATCAAGTAGGAAAGAAAAACATAAAATAAATGTAATTAACATAATATTAAATTCTAGCTGAATACCATTGTTTATTCAAAGGTTCTGATCCTGAGGTTTCTTTACTTTTTGTTTTAAAAGGAAGAATGCCAGGAGTCTGAGGGGGTTAAAGATAACCTAGCACCAAACTGAGAGTTTCTTTTCATAATAATTAAAAATGCTGAAGTAGAATTGGAAGGGAATTACACGATGATAACGTGAATCTGTATCAATCTCGGTGCCCTTGCTGCTCACAAGCACTTCCTATGCTATTGCGTCTCCCAGGCTTTGGGGACCTTTGGTCTAAGCCAGTGCGGGCGAATGAGTGAGTACGAGCACCTCCAAAGACTCCAGAGCTGCAGCGCTCACCGTTCTGTTCACGATGCTTCACAGGGATCACCCAGGTGACTGACTGTGCATCCCAGTCCCTCCCATCCAACTTCACTCTCTCGGCCCCGCATGATCCTTGTCATCACGTTCCCTTTTCCACTCCAGCGTGTCCTGACTTGGGACAATCCACTGTAGAGTCAGCAGGTGGATGGTTCACCTGTCCATCCTTTTCTGAGCACCTACTCTGGACCTGGCTCTGGGGTAATGACTGGAATACAAAGTAAGACAGTTCCCAGCCCCCAAGAACTCAGGAAGGGAAGATCAGGGCGAGGAGGGGAAGGGACCACTTAATGACGACACCAAGTGATGCGCTGCTCAGATCACAGGGCAGGAGGACAGGTGAATGAAAGGAACCCGGCAGGTTCCTCAGTGCAAAGGGCAAGCAGATCAGCTACTCAGTGATGTAAGAACCAATGAATCAGCTCCTCAGAGGCTGGTAGGTCTTTCCCAGTTAAAACAATGTATTGACCTGCATAGCTACCTATTCAGGGAGCTGGGGTGAAAAGGATTAAAGTGAAAAAACACAAACAGTTTCTGGCTCATATTTCTTCTGTAGTTATAAGAAAACCTGCCCTGCCTGGTGAATCTGTAACATGTAGGTATAGATAAAAATGTTTGCAGAGGAAGAATACTCTCCACAATTGAGTAGTTTTAAAACTTAAATCAGATCATATTACTTCCTTGCTTAAAACCCTTCCTGGGTTGATCGTTGTTCTCAGAGTCAAACCCACACCCTTCCCGTGGCCCAGGAGCTCTGCCCTTTGTCTGCAGCCCCACCTCCTGCTGCTCTCACTCCAGCTCACTCAGCTCCAGCCACCTGGGGCTTGACTGTTCCCTCTGCCTGGAGCGCTCTTCCTCCAGAGCTTTACACATCTGACTTGTGTGGAGGGACAGGCCCCCTGAGACTGACAGCAGCCCAGAGGGAAGCAGCAAAGCCAAGAGGTCAGGAAAGGGGGTTCCTGCTGATGTGACAGAGCAGCCAGGCTATGTGCTGCGTGACAGTAGAGACCCTGCCTGCTTCACCCCTGCTGTGCCCTGGTGTCTGGACAGGCCCAGCATGCTGGGTGCTGCTGGCTTTTTCCCTGCAAAACCACTTCTGTTACTGTTGGGAGCTCCCCTAATAAAGCCCAAGTACTGCACCACTACATGCTTCTCCAACTACAGGATGCCCTGCCCCAATTCTGTGCAGAAAGGATAAAAACAGAGTGTCCAATACATCTTTCTGGAGCATCAAATTTATTACTAACTTTGGAAGAACCAAGTACTTTAATAAGAACCCCCACAAACATGGGAGCAAAGGAGAGCAGGGGAGGGGAGAAGGGTCCCAGGAAAAACAGTCCAGTCTGAGGTTTCATTAGGTGGGGGCCCAGGGGTGGACCTCGGCCCCCACCTAATGAGGACCACCTAATGAGGCTCTCTTCCTGACCCCCAGGGGGCTCCAGGCCATCCTCCTTAAGATGCTCCTGAAGGCCACAGAGATGCTGTGAATCCCATGCAGGAACGCTGTGACGGTTTGCACACGTCCATCATCCACAGGACCAAGTCCTCTCACTGGTGCACACAGGGTGTGTGTGTGTCCGGCAGTGCTCTCACCCGCAGCTGTCTGTGTGCCGCCTCCGGCCGTCTCCCGCACCAGTGATGGGCCTCCTTGGAGCTCAGTAACTCCAGGCTCAGCATTTAAAATGCAGGGAGTGTGGCCCCATTGATGTGACTCAGTGGGTTGGGTGTCACCTTGTAAGCCACAGGATCCCTGGTTGGAATCCTGGTCAGAGCACATGTGTGGCCAGGCTCCTGGTTGGGCCCAGGGTCCTCAAGTTCTTCTTTAAAATATATCTGCTGCCCTGGCTGGTGTAGCTCAGTGGATTGAGCTCGGGCTGTGAACCAAAGTGTAGCAGTTTCGATTCCCAGTCAGGGTACATGCCTGGGTTGCAGGCCGTGACCCCCAGCAACTGCAC